CAGATGTTTTGATAAATCGTCCTGCCGAGGCGTCCAGACGCTCAAGCTGACTTGACAGCCATTGGCGATCAGCTGGCCTCGACCGCGTCTCTTTACGAAATGGGGATAAAGATTTAGAGATACTCTGACGTTGCCCTACGAGAGGAATTCCGAGGTGCAAGGAGAGATAGGTAAAGCTGTATCGGGAGCTGTATCTAGACACGAGGCTGCGTCTCCGACAAGTGCATGGCCCCCTATCGAGCGAGGGGTTCTTTACGCTAATCACCCATCTAATGGGCTGGTAATTTTCCTCGGGCTGCCGGTGATACCGTGAGAGGAGTCTAGAAACCTTTTGGTATACACGACTGGGTTTATTTAATTTTTCTCGGTCGTTTAAGACCAGTTTTGCGAAACCGGTGGAGGTATTCAAGAGTTATGCGTAGTTATTTTAGGGAATGCAGGAGAAATTTGCAGAGGGGTCAATGATGTTTCTGGGATTCAGTTTAGACGCTACGTGCAGGGATTCGTAATCGAACCATTCTGTCAGGAATATCATCTGATAATTTTTGTTATTATCGAAGGTAATCTTAGAATTCGGAATGGCCCTTTTTGTTCATCCCTCGTGGGCTCACTGAGTTGATGAAAATCGAGTGCAGCGTGCCGTGAAAAAAGATCGGCGTCTCGGCGAAACCCCCCAAAAAGTCATTTGAATCCCCTAGATACGATCATTTAGGCCGGCGACACGTCCTCGGACAGATCATCGCAGGAGTTAAGGAGACAAGAGGGACAATGGCTCTCGTGTTCCTTGGGGAATCCTACGTATTTTTTTTTCCTCCCTCCAGCCCCTCTATCTACCGTCTGGCATCTGCGGGTCCGTCGACGAAAATTCTCTATGATTTCTCTAGCCCCGCCTGCCACCTGATGCTCCCGGAAAGACTCGAACTGAAAAGACTACTTTGCCTAAAAGAAAAAAAAAAACAGTCTTGGAAAAGTTGTTCGTACTAACACAAATAATTCGATATCGATAGTGAAACTGCGTCAAAATGTCTACAAACCGATCTAGATTTTTTGGCACCTATCGCTCTCGAAAAGGCTACTTTGTCTAAAAGGAAAAAACACCGATGGAAAAGCCGTTCGTACCAATACTAATAATTCGACATCGGTCGCGAAATTGCGTCAAAATGACGACTGCAGCCCAGTCTAGACTCTTTGGACAGGTTTCATCTTAATCGAGATCGATCCGTACGATTTTTCACGCAGCAAAGTCCACGGGCGTCCGATAATCGCCGTCTGCGATTCACGACGGAAGTGGATTTAGAACGTATCTCGGCACCTCGACCGATAATCGGCGGGAGGAAAAGAAAAAAAAAGGGGAAATAACAATTTGAGCCTCTCCTTCCCGAAGGTGAGATACGTGAACAAATTCCCGCTCACCGTCTTATCGATGCCGTGTTTGTCCTCGCCGACTCGCCCCCCCACTCCTGGACGATTTTGTTATCGCAAACACGCGAAACTCCCATAATCGTATTTACAGAATACCGCTTGCACGTGCCTTGGAGACTATTAATCGGTGTTCAGGCAACACCTCATATCGCGGTTAACAGATACGCCAGTTAATCTAATTAATCGTAACGATCCTAACAAGTGGTCATTTACCCCATAATCGCGCACACATTGGCTTAAGTATATTTCATCAAACAGTCATGTTTCCTCCCAGCTCCCCTTCGAAAGACCCTCGATGTGATTTACCTACCACGAATATGGGAATTTCATGGTGCCTTGTGCGTGCGATGTTTACACGGCGCGAGATTGACATAATTATACACGGGTAGTGTCGTAACGTTAAGCGAATGCACATTATGGTGGCCAGGTGCTGTAATCGACGTGTAGTAGGCGGCGACGACCACGCACCACGTGGTCAATAACACGCTCGGCTGGTTAGGTTAGTTTAGTTAAGTTGGGTTAGGTTAGGTTAGGTTAGCCGCGCACGCGCGGCGGCGTGGAAATGCGCGCGCAGCCGCGGTCGCCGCACACGTGGCCGGGGCGTGTGAAAAAGCCGAAAATTTTCCTTTCGCCCGGCAAAACCGGTTGCTACGGCCTTGCGACCAAATTAGATTTTCGATGGTTCGATACCACCGTCATCGCGGTGTTTCGATCGCGAGGGGGCTCTTATCGTATCGTCGATATCGGCCCCTCGGAGCCGCCGTTAAATCGAGAAAATACTCGAGATCAGAGATCGGCCTCCGATCTAACGGACTTCCCGATTAATCGGAACGGCGAATGCGAATTTCCTTTTTTTTTGTTCCGCGGAATTTCATTAGCGCTACAATGTTGCCGATGACAAAGGTCCTCTTATCTTTGCATCGATGTCCCTCGTCGACGTTTAAAGTCGCGGGGTAAATAACCACTTGTCGACTCCACCCGAGATTGATAAGGTTATCCAGTGACACCTTATGGAGCTATATGATTTAAGGTGTCTGATCACCGCTTCATTAACACAGTTTATTATCGTTAATTCCAAATTTACACGCCCAATGCGAAGTTTGTCTGCCATTGAAATTTCCTCGCCAAGTTTCGCTGTACAGCGTGGTGTGGGGTCTTCTTGTTGACACGACGTGTCTTCGACTTCTCGTTTCTGCTGGAAGTGCTAATGGCCACAGAAGCACTAGCAATTATCACAGGATGTGTGGACACAGGTGACGTAACGAGGGGCTGGAGAAGATATCGAGGAAGTCCGAGAAATCTGTGAATATCTCCTCGCGGTTGCCCCTCGAGATTCAATATCGAGAAACTTCAAAATGGCGTCGGATGGAAGTAAACAAAATTTCGTAAGAACGTATCTTGGAAGGACTTCTTTTAAATGCAGACCACGAATCGAGTGGATATATTAGGTAACGTGTCGTAAAAATCCTTAGGAAATTATGGATTTTAATGCTCGAAGTCACGCGGAAATCAGGTGGAAATCGCAAGGGGAAATTACTGGAAATTGTTGAAAATCACGGAACCATTGTTCCAATTTTAAGGCCGAACGTGATTTGTTATCGAATTGCATTGTTCTGTATCATATGGAATCAATGACATCGATGAGTTTTTGAATCCACCACTTGACGTGAAATTAGCCGACCGAGAGTCCGTACACATAGTGCGTTAGTAAATGTAACGGCACGGTTGTAACAAGAAAGTCGGTAGAGTTTCGAGCCAAATACATTTGTTTTGTGCGAAAATTGCATGAACCATGTAAATGGACTCTTTGGAAAGTGCCCCGTGAGGGCGGTACATGATTCAACTTTATCAGCTCGCTTTGCACAACATGCAAAAGTGTAAACAGAGCCAATCGCATCGAGAAATTCGGGGATACGTTTATTTGTGCTCGACATCGACGATGCACGGAGTTTTCCATTATGTCGGGCCAGAGTGCTTCGATCGAGATATCAGCAAGCGGAGTCTGAAAGAAAAAAAAACTACATTTATATCGTTTCTTCCGTTAAAGTGAACAAAACATTTGATTGTCCATACGATTGTCCAACATTTGATTGACAACCGTATTCTATAATTGAACCAACAAAGATGTTATTGATTTAAGCCGCTATTTTTCTCCGAGAACAATTTTATGATCATATATATTCATACATTTAATCACACGTATTCCGTCGCAGACTTTTCTGTACGTGCATTGTCCATTAAGCTTCAATAGAAGATTTCTTCTTCCTCTTCTTCTTAAGGACGCTCAGAATTTCTCGCGGTTTACCTTGAGTGGCGTTACTATCGCGCCGGATCTTTTCAAACGATTTACGTCGCTCTAACGTTGAGCATTTCAGTGACCGCCGAGTGATAACGAGATCTGTGGGCGTACACTTTCATAGTGCTTGCTCGAAAATCCGAGAGCTTATCTCGGTAATTGTGTAATGGACTTTATAACGAGGATACGATAGGCGGGACGCTAGCGTGTCGTAGTTCGCGAGAACCCCCAGAGATAGCGTTCCGGTGATCCGTAGTAGGGACTTTGTTCCGAGTTGCGATTGGTCAGCAGGTCTTGATCTCGACCAATAAGAGGCCGCGATCGCACAGAATATTCGAGGGGGTCCGAAACGGGTTCCCCTGCCGAAATTGGTAACCCATTATCAGTCCGATTTAATCTACCGAGGACGTGTATTCGATCTCGTTATCTCCTCTCGTTATCTCCATCAATTGTCGAACAACACCATTCTAAATCCATTAAAAAATAAAAAAAATCGTCGCTCTACATACGATTCCACTTTATACATATATATATAAATTATACAAAATTAACGAATAACTATCCAATCTGTCGCACCGAAATGAAACCGAAAGAACGAATAACGCCATTCGCGTACATTAAAAGATTTCCAGAGTCTTCTTACAGTAGCACTGGTGGTCTGAAGATAATTAAGCGCCCGTTAGCGCTTATTGCCAGTTGGGCCATGAACTTGTCCGAGACGCTATTGAAGTACCTCTTAATGGAGTATGGGAACAAAGACTACAACTCTATCGTATTCCTTAATCCGGGATTTATCGGGTCCAGTAAATCGCATGTCTCCATCGCATTAATAATTACGCAGATTCGATCCTGAAGGTCTCGATCGACGCTTAAATTCGGATTTACTGGGTTTGGCCCCGATAAACCCCGGATTTAGGAGTACGATAGAGACGGAGTCATTGAGACCTAATCCACGTTTCCTAACCTGTTAGAAATCGTCGATCAATTAATTTCTTTATATCGAAACTTTGGATTCATTTGAACAGATCGTGACAATTCCATGAAAATTCGACGAGCGATCTACAGGTCTCGACTTTTAGCCAGAGGCCGCGGTCGATTCGATCGATCGATCGATGACGCCACGTGCTCGCCGATCCGCGGCCGAGCCGCCGGCATGTAGCGCCTCGTTATCACCCCCATGTTCCACGGCCGACGCGGAGGTGGGGGATGTAGGCAGAGCCGATAACGAGGTCGATATAAAAGGCGACGCAGCGCGCGGTGAAATTAGTTTGACATTCGGCCGCTCGCGGGCACGTCGGTCGCAATCGTTATCTCCCTGGCTCAGGTCCCGATTGATCACTCGACGTTCGAGCACGACGACACGTATCGATAATCGCCGGCGAGGGATCGCGTCCTCGAGACGCCCCGCCCCCGCAACCCGCGGACTCCGCTGAGGAGTGCATCAAGGCGCCGAGACCTAACCTCTCTATTCGTGGCATCTCGATCACGCCGATGTCGGTCCAGCAGGAGGCGACGTTATCCTAGCGTTAGCGTCAGCCCTCGACCGGACAAACACGCGGCGAGTCGAAAACTTCGAGGGGAGAGCCAACCTTGACGAGCGATCGGGCCAGGGCGCGCGCAGCGCCACCTTAAGCGGCGGCCTCCCGAAACTCCGCGACGAAGGGCGCCATCTTGGTAGCGCGGCGACCCGCCAAGATAGAGGATCGCGGCGGCCACTCGCCGAGAAGAGTACCGCTCTTGCCCCATGAGTTGTACCGTCCGTCCCAGCCTAGTTATGTTCTCGATCGAATACAGCAAGCAATTCCTGAGCTACCGCATACTCAAGTCCAACCGGTTCAAATACATCTGACGATACGGACTCGGACCGAGTGGTGTATGTGCGCAAGTGTGTGTTAAGCGGCTTGGGAGCTGCGGTGTACTCAGGAAAGAGCGACGGGAAGCCCCGTCGAGCGCGGCGAGACCTGGAAAGTCTTGCGCGATCCTATGTAGCCTTCGCCCCGAGAGTTCGACACAGGGCCGAGCCGGCCTCTGCGTAAGGGCGGACCCTCGAAAGTCGTTAGTTAGACGAAGTTTCGAGGGCCCAATCCAGGGAGACGGCGCTGGGGCGGGACGGAGTTGAGTCGCGACCCGCCGACTCGTTGCGATCTCCATCTATAGAGTTTAGGGCATTTAGTCGCGCCGAGTTACCGATCTCCCTACCACGTGCTCATGGCGCGCGCCTGGCGGGATCGCGGCCAATAGGAGCGAGGCTCCGGGCGGGCCGACCAATCGCTGCCCTGCAACCTTTCCGCTGGGCCGGAAAGTGGCGCGCGGGAAATTTCTCCCCGAGCGAGGAGAAAGGGGTTCCATCGGAAAGTTAACTCGTACGGAGTATCGGTTATAGATTCGATAATCTCGATTCGGCCTCGAGATTGGGATTTAGGGGGTCAATCTGCACGTCTTTGGTCTCTTTGGCCTCTGTTTTGAAGGAGCAAGGTCGCTCGACGAGTTAAAAAATGATCTTTCCCGTGCCGGGCAGAATGCCAACCCACGTTGGTCCATACGGCGCCGCTCGCTACCCGGGCACCCTGCTGGCGGCTGTACCTTCGGGTCTGTACGTCCCGACTTCCGGCTACTCCTCGGCCAATCAGCGCGTCGTTTACCGCACCGGCCTGACTCTCCACCAATCGCCGCTGGACCTTCCGGCGTGGCCCAGGAGAATGCCGGCCGAGGAGGATCTAGGGAATTCCCCCTCTGCCATGGGGGTTTCCCCGGGTTCCCTGGGAGCCGGCGGCCCTCCCAGCCCTGCGCATAGTGACTCCGACGCATCCAACTCCAGCCTGGAACTGGGCTCACTCAGGAGAGGAGAGAATGCTCAACTCAAGTGCAGGTAACGCACGATTTATACGTATTTTTTAATCGGCGGGTTGAGGAATGTACTGGTCTCGACACCAAGGTTAATTTGCGAGGCGGCGAACCGAAAACGACGGCGGCCATCTTGGCCGCCATATTGGACGCGATATGATTGGATGGTTTCACGCGAGATTTACGGGATATCCGGAATGATTCCATTTCCGATTCAAGAACTGGTAGTTGTGATACTGTAGGAATGTTTATCTAGTTGAATACGTAATTGGCAATACATTTTTTATTCTAGTTTTAAAGTAACTTCGATTATTATATTACCATCGCAAGGGACTTGAATACCTGGGGATTTCCGTTAACCTACTTATGAACACGTTCAAAAATGCCGCGCGAATCCGTATCTTAATTAAGTAATTTAAATTTATTCGTTGACAAGTTCTATGAGTTTTAACGTTTAATTGTAATTTAAATTCAGAGGTCTTTGCGTCTGGCGGTCCATGAGAATTTACCGGGAAACATTTGTATTTCCTGTTGTTTTTCTCGGTAATAATACGTTGCCGTGTATCTGGGAATAGATCGACCGATAGGACGACTAATTTAATTCAGAAACCGAGTGAAGTCGCGGGGTTCAAATCCCGACCTCAAGAATTAGTGCGTAATTGTCGAAGAGTTCCGTCACTCGGTGCTCGTAAATTCTCGTTAAGACCGGGGGTCTCGTGAAGTGCACGTATTCTCGTTATCGAAGACGCTTATCGACATTTGTTTTATGTACTCGGAGACCTGAGTGTCACTACGAGAGGGAGTCGAGCCGATGCGAAATGATGTGTCTTATGTGTGACGTTTTGTTTAACCAGATCTATCCGTTGTCTCGTTTCCGCCCCTTCTTTAGCTTCACGTGACTCGGGGATTTTTTTTCCGGTTTTTCCGATTTTTTTTTTCGATTTCTCCGTTATCAGTGTTTCCTCCTCGATAACGTGCGCGTCGCGCCCGACGCCGCCATTTTGTAACGCGTCGAGGTTACGCGCGCGAGAAACTACCATTAACAAAATCCCATTTGCCGCATCCTTTTGCAGGTTATGTTCGATCATTTGTCACGTCCCCTTACCCGATTCAACTGGATTACAACCAGTTTCCCGTATCTTCACTCGTATCAGAAATCGCAGCGCTCTCGAGACGGCGGAAGTACACATTGAAGGGAGAGAAAAGAGGGGAAAGGAAAGCGAAGAAAAACGTCAGGATCAAGCATTCTCTCGATTGTGCTCAAGTAGTTCATTGATAAATGGCGCGATAGCGTTTTTAATATCCATCCTATCTACACCGGTGACTAGTTTTGTTTATTTTCTCAACATCGACTCTCGAGTAGTTAAGTAGATAAAAATATCAATCGTCGTCAAACACAACTGAGTGCATTCCTCGACCCATTTTATTGCACATACAAATGAAATATTTTTAATTAATATTTTTAGCACGGCCTAGCATGAGCAATAAAAGAGGATATCTCTTTAATTTATAAAATGACCTCTTTTGTGTATTAAAAGGGGAGACCATTTTATTAATATTTCAAACACGGCTTGTTCAGAAACTCGGCTGAGTTTTGCGCCAAATACATTATAAGTATGTGCGGTAGATAGGACCTTTTACATTGGTTTTTGTTTCGATTAATTCTTTGTATGTGTATTATCACGCGACGAGTTACGATAAATCTGATCTCGGCACGGGCGACGTGAGACGCGAATGTAATCTCGAACGTGTCAACGTCCATGGAACGTTGATAGTATCTTGTTGGGATATGTTGTCGAGTGTGGGTACGTAGACGTCGGGAATGTCATGATCCATTGCGCGTCGATGTGACGCATCCTGGTGGATGTTAACCAAGGAATATCGAACACGCGGCGACCTCGTGGCAATAAAACCATCTCAAGAAGTAGCGCTCCTTATCGGCGTCGGTCTTTTATCGGGTAACACCTCTTTTAACAACGACCTGTAACGTCCGCCATGTTGACGACTCTTGGCGCCGCGGCACTTGTCCGTTTATTTCATTTTTCATCCGCAAACTCTGGCTTTTCTAGATCGTATACCTGGCGAAGATTGCAATATGACGACGGACACAAAATAGTTGTAAAGGAAATTGAAAAGGGGAAGTAAAAACGAGACGACGCAACGCCTCGAACGCGACTCGATGGTCGATCTCGAAGAGGTTATGTCTCGAGCGAAAAGAAACTTAGATCGGTGTCTTCGGTTTTTATCGTTGGATATGTAATAACTCCTCCCATTGATTACATTGCAACGTTGTATTTTAATGGTTTTACCATTTGTTTTCTTTTTTAGGGATGGTTAGATAGGATACTTCTATGAGTAGTTATTTATTCTTTAATAATGTTTTCTGGTAAATTGCCCTCATCGCAAAGGATCCATCTTGATAACTCCGATCAAATGGCCACGAAGATCACCGATAAGAGCTGCCAATTTTGATAAGGACATAGACATCGGTCTCAGGTCCTTCGGTAACGTTCTTTTCTGCAACGTTTTGTGCAGGAGCCTTTGCGATGCTAATTTATAATAAGTTGGCTCAATGTGTTTCAATTTCAAAATTCGATCCAAAGTTAGCATGACTGACATTGACTCGGTGATCCGTATCTTCTCTCTTTATCGGTCTCTTTTCTTTCGCCTCTATACACTGTTTTCCAGGGAATCACAGCATATCAACATTGCGTAGCAAGTCTGGCTACTGAATTTCTGGCCATTTCGGCTTCTTTTCCCACTCGTTTGATACAAGACTAGGTGCCAACTGGTGAAAATAATGGTTTAGCAGACGAGAGGTGTCCTGCGAGGTGTATATTTTCTCTAAATTTTCAATTCTTTAGTTCACTGAGAAGACGAATAGAATAGGATTCAAAAGTTCACAGTTATCGGAAGGGTTTACGTACAAATGTCATCATGAGTATTCGGGGCAAATCGTCCCACCAGTGGTGGTCCAATTGTCGCAGCCTTCACCTTTGACGCACAACAATTCGTGTGCTCTAGTTGGCAATTACGCCAGGTCGACGTCAGCTGATTCTTCAGGGCGGACGCCGTGGTCGACGTCGACAAACTGGAGTCAATCGGTACCAATTGCCGAGTCGGCGGAATTGGCGGCAATTGGAATGACGATCCGCCGAGTGTTAGTGACGCAAATCGGGCACTGATATCCCGTCGAGACGGAACCTGCGAGAAAACCGAAATTTCCGCAAATGTATTCAATACCCCCAAAAATGTAAATTAAATATTTATACAAGGTCAGAAAAAAGGCTCGAGATTGTCAAAAGAAAATTTAACGCAAGGATAACCATAAGTGCAGAGTTATTATAAAATTCTTCTCGACTCGTGTCGATATGCCGCACGTTGGCGTAAAGACCCTCAGGCCGCTTCGATCAAAATGTATTTGGCGCGCAACTGGCACGAAATCATTCCCACTTGTCACCGTTTAGGATGCAACACCGATGATACTTTTAAAATCAATTCTAACGATGCCAGGAATTTTTTATAATTTCTTCTGTTCTCTTTTTATATTTAGATAGCAGAAACTAATTAAATAATCTCGCCTAGGAAGTAAATTTTTTTCGCTCAGGGTATAATATGATATTCCAAGGGAATGGCAGTAAGACGTGTTTTGGTTACAGATGGGCAAACTGCGGAAGATGGTTTACATCACTGGAGCAACTTGCTGGTCACGTCGCCAGGTTGCATGCTGCACCGGGTCCTCGAGGTCTTTTCTACTGCGGATGGGAAGGTTGTGCAAGAGGGGAGCGTGGGTTCAATGCGAGGTAAATACTTCGATTCTAAACTAAAGTGGGATTGATTGCAAAATTTATCGTATACATCATTTAACTGCGCAGTATCTTGATATCGTATTTTGGTGCACGGAGAAAAATATTTGGTTGAATCAATACAATTTTTCTTGGTTCTGTCACAGGGACAATGCATTCGACCGACATGACATGACATTTGATACATTTAATCAAAATACATGGTACACCGTATTTCCTATAATCGGTACAAGTATTTTTCTAAAATTAATAAAACGGTGTAACCAAAACACTTCAGTTGATCGAATCAAGTGACCTAAAATTCGGTTCGTTCAATCAACATGTTCTTTGAAATTGACAAAATGCAGTTAAACGACGTTGTTCGATGAAGGAATTCATTTTCGGCATGGACGTGTGGTTGGATACTTGAAGGAGGTTCTATAATCGATTCCTCACAGGTACAAGATGCTGGTCCACGTGAGGACGCACACGAATGAGAAGCCGCACCACTGCTTCCAGTGCGACAAGAGCTTCAGCAGGGCAGAGAACCTGAAGATCCACGCCAGGTCGCACACCGGGGAGCGACCCTATGTGTGTCCCGTAGAAGGTTGCAACAAGGCATACTCGAATTCTTCGGACCGCTTCAAGCACACCAGGACGCACGCAGTGGACAAACCATACTGCTGCAAGGTCCCAGGGTGCCCGAAGAGGTACACCGACCCCTCGTCCCTGAGGAAGCACGTGAAGACCTACCGGCACTACGTCAACAACAACGACAAGCTGCAGGAAAAGAGTTTCGAGGACAACAGCAACAGCCAGGAGAAGATGAGCTTCGAGGTCCAGGAGCAGCAGAGCACCCACTCGGAGTCGGACAAGAAGGACTCGAGCATCGAGAGCACGACTTCAAGATCGAGCCCGAAGGCCAGCAACAGCTTCGAGGAGCAGAGGAAATTCGTCGAGTGGAACAACATGTACAACCTGAAGGAGAGCAAGGAGCCAGCCCAACTGACGCCGAAGTACGAACAGGAGGCGAAGCCCTACCCGAGGATCTACGAGGAGACCTACATCATCCCCGAGAGGATCCAGGTTAACCCGATGTACTCCCAGCTCCCGGTGACCAACCCCGTAAAGGAACCCTGTTCACCTCGCACCAGTCCTCATCACCTCCCGGAGACGTTACCACGAATCGGTATGCAGTCCACCCCGATCAAGAGCGAGGAGCCTGCCGAGAGTCCCAGCAAGATCACCACCGTTGACTACAGAAACATCGACTCCATCGTCAACGGGACCCACTGTAAGAAGGAGAGTCTCGCTCCAGTAAGTGGATCCGATCCCGTCAGACACTCCGTCATAAAGCGGGCGGAGAACGTCAAGACGGAGCCGGACCGCCAGAAGGAGGACGTGAAAGAGAATGCGGAATGTTGTTGCCGCCACAAGTGTTGCGTGCACAGTAGCGACAACATCCTGGAGAAGACGAAGATCCTGTCTGACCTGATTCTGAAGGCACAGAATCCCCTCTTTAGACACCTCCTGGGCTCGGTGGACCTGCAGTACGGTCTGCAGAACATGTGGACCAACATGGCTGATAGCGCCAATACCTGCGGACAAGATCTCAGGGTGAAGAACGACAACGTGACGGAGATGGAGCAGGACTTGCCGCTTGACTTGACTGTCAACAAATGATCCGAGTGGGTCCGAAACCTTACCAAAAATGACGCGTCGACGTCGTGTCCCGCGAGAGTATAGCTGGTCTATTATCGTGTCCATTTGTAAGGAGGAGCGAAGTCTACCTCGTTATTTCTACTTGGGAAACGATCGTCGCTTCTACATTAAAGTCACCGAAGATGCGGACAATGAGCACGCAGCATGTATTTTGGCACCCGAAGCACTTATTGAAACAAGTGCTTGACCTATGTGCGTGGATATACGCAAGTGCATGAGTGTATCGAATGCATATCTTGATGTAATTTGCTGTTTGTTTACTGTGTGCGTCTTCGGTGTGCGACCGGATGATCAGTCACGACAGGGTATCATTGGACGGAGCCAACGGGAAATGGTTTCGAGTCGGGAGGGTTTGAAATACAATTGATTCCTGAAGATCGAATGTTCACTGCACGCTGGTCGGTTCGGAAAAAAAAAAGAACAAAAAACCGAAATCGAGCCTTATCAAAGGGGACGAAACAAAACCTTTAAATGCCATTGAATCGAGGGAAAGCCGTTGAGATCTCGAAGACAACATCGCCCTTTCATTACCGCGCACTTTGTACCGTTAAATTTTTCTAGGACCTGCGCATGATATTCGTGACGTTTCTCTTGATCGAGAAACTGCCGATGGTTTTAAAGATCACATGCGCTAGGTCCGGTCCCTACGATTAATCGGATCAATCAATCGCGACTTACCGTGCAAATCCTGAAGAGGCGAAATTTTCCTCGCGTTCTCGCGATCCATTTTTTTTTCTTCTAATTTTTTAAAACGCTCGAACCTGCACTCTAGTGCCAAGACATGATTGGTCGTTGTACCCACCGAGGCCTGCCTTAACATAGATTATAATCGGGACTCCTCGGAGTCTGTGCCAAAGGTGATACGAAGCGAGAACGAGATGTATAGCCGCGCAAGAATTATGCCGTCAGAAGTCAACGCGATCGTCGCCGTACACGTATATGTACATATATTTAAGAGGGAGAGAGATCGTATCGAGTCGCCGGGTAGGAAGAAACTCTCGTTGATGTTTCTTGCGTCGCGACAACACGAACGCGCGTCCGCCGAGGCGCGTCACCGGGAAGTTGAAATCCCCGAAATTCCTCTGGGCGCTGCACCGTAACGTTGTATCGTGACGTTGCGCCGTAACGTTGCACCGTGACGTTACACTGCAACGTTGCATCATGACGTTGCACCATTATGCTGCATCGTTACATTCCATCATTATGTTGCATCGTGACGTTTCATCATAATGTTGCATTGCGAGGTTACATCGTGGTGTTCCATATGACACTGCGTCGTTCAGAGCAATCTTTGAGGTTTCCGATAACGCGCCCCGACCGCTTACATACGCCACATGTACATATGGAAATATATTATATATTTGAGTATCCGACGTGAAACAGGGAAATGAACAGAAGTGCCTTATTCTTTAACAGAGAACTGTATAACGGCGCGAGCTACCTTAATAAAGTACATTATTTATACAAGTGGTCTTTAAGTCCCTTCATTTTCAGATTTCACGCAGCCAGCTACTTGCGCAGAGATGCAGAGTACATGGAAAGTGTTTTTCAACCTATCGGTGTCGCGTTCATCCCTCAGGATTTCTGTCATTGAACGGAAGACTTATGTAGGATTTAAGGAAAAGATCGTTGCTTCTTTTTATACTTTTATAAAAATAAAAGAAAAATGTAGGGTACATGAGGTGGATTGTTTGACTGCTTTTTTTTTTTTTAAGTATTGTAAGATGCGCGAGATTCGAGTCTGCTTTCGAGAGAGGCATTATCACGACCAGTCGATGATTTTGTAATCTGTCGAGTGGGCCTAAATCTCACGATAGCGCCAATTTGAGCTCGTTTGATAAGATACTCGTAATCGTGACGAGAACGTCCTGCTACACAGACCTCGATGTTGAATTTAGGACAGATGGATCATCTGCTTTCGGATTTTCACGAGATCTCTTAATTTTAAAAATGATTTCTTTACTTTCAAGGGAGTTTCGAATCTTCTTCCGCGTGTCGGTCAAATTCCTCAACGCAAGATCCATCCTGATTACATAATTTAGTAGAAAGTAACTAATTACTTAACAAAGTTAATTTTACGCCTATAAGAAAAAAGTTACTGATTATTCCTATATGGTACTCGTTCATATAAAACATGACAAACGAAAACACACGGTAACGATAACAGTGCTTGTCGCGCGATCGCTCTTCAAGTAATCCTTCGTTTATGGCACTTTACACGAGTCTCGCCGACAAACCTGCACTCAAGTCCCTCAACCCAGTTATCATCGTCCGCACGAGACACACAATGTTAATAAACGCATCCGACGTTTTGTCGGACTTCAAGATATCCTGTGCCCCGTTAGAAGGTCCGACATGCCGTCCTTGATGATCTTCAAACTCTCCAGATCGGCGTTTATCGTGTCAATCAGTTGCGCCATGCCTTGCTGCTCCATGCTTAAATACTGCAGTGGGGAAATAAATGTCAATTGCATAATTATTTTATTCACAGTTCGGTGATAACTAATAAGTTATATCGTAATAACGAGTTTATCGATGTCGTCACCCCGTACTACCCCTGTAGAACTATATGGATGAGACAAAAGATTTATATACGTACGGTTTTTATGTCATCCTGTGCAATTGGATCCATCGTGTATCTCTCATGGCTTTGGGAATCCACGTGTCTCCTCATTCTCAGTTGAGAGAGCATTTCGCTTATTCTTCCCTTGAATTGTGTCGGCGCACTGATTTGTGAGTGCATTGCTTCCAATCTATTCGTTAGGACTTCTTCCTCGGGTTGCAAGGACAGTCCTACCTTACGAGTAATTTCTTGACGTACCAGCACCTTTCCGATACAAGAATACATAATTGTAGTAGGTATAAAGTTATCTTATGGTATATTTCTGTACATATTAAAAGTAGTAGTATCCAGTAGTATCCATGAATTATTGCTAACATTAAAAATACGAATTACCTGTACGACCCGATGCTGCAATTCTAAAAGTGTCCTCCGATGTTCCTTTAGTCTCGCCTGTGTAGCAGTGTGTTGCCTTTGCAAATTTTGTATTCTTTCAGCTGCCATGTCAAGAAATGCCCTGTGTTTAGACGTTTCTTCCTCCTGGCATTTCAGTCTATACTTGACTTGTTGAAATCCAATCATCGGCACGGGAATGTACATTTGTGGATTGGGATTATCTAATTGTGCCTGTTTCCACAATCTCGGATCGATGGAGCATGGAGGATTGTCCAGGTACTCTCTCAATTGAGAAGGATCGAGCTTCATCTGGGGAAAGATATTTTCTACGCCGATTTGTATGAGTTGCGACTTTGGCATGGTTTGCGACAGGTAAGCCACTAGCTCGTTTGCTGGGATCTTTCTAGAGGACCCTGTCACACCTTTCTCCAATACCACAATTGTAGCTTGACTCTTGGTGTCACTGGTTGATTTAACACACTCCACCGATACAGTGAGGTTAGGTTTGTTACCCAAAATAGTGCTTATAGACGTCACCAACTGTTGCTTGCCATCTTTAATTTCTTGTTCTTTCTTGTTAAAACAAAGAACTACGAGGCCATCGTTGTTATCTGCATCGGGCATACGACTGTATCCGATAGCCCTGAATCTACACAGTGGATTTTCTTGCGTCATCTCCACTGGAGGTGCCGATGCAGAATAGTAAGCCTTTCCCGTTCCCCAAAGTGCTTGAATCAGGTTCCATTTTGCCATGGTATTGTCACGTTCATCGTTAAAGAGTTGGCAATTAAAGACAGCATTGTACAAAGCTTCTGATATTGCATTAGCTGATTGCTGTTGTTGCTGTTGCTGTTGCTGTTGCTGTTGCTGTTGCTGTTGCTGTTGCTGTTGCTGCTGCTGTTGCTGTTGCTGTTGCTGAGGCTGTGTCAAGCTAGAGCCAAATCCTGTGAACCCAGATCCTGCAATTGTTAAAAGTTACAATATTTCAAATTAGCGACATTCTATGAATATAAAAAGAAATAAAATTGTCATTATGATTACCCAATCCAAATCCTCCAAAACCAGCAGAAGTTGTTGTAGTTGTAGGCTTAACCATGAAACTACCGAATCCTGTGCCACCACTGAAACTTGTTCCTCCGAATAGACTTGGTGTTGTTGTGGTTAAAAAACCGGGACATCCACCAAATCCAGTTGAACTCGTTGGAGCAGTAGATCCAAGAGACCCAAATCCAGTCGAAGTTGCAGGCGTACTTCCAAATGTTGCACCTGATCCAAAGCCAAAGCCTGTCCCAGAGGAACCGAAAGTATTCGTTGTCGATGTAGCAGGAAAGCCAGTTCCAGCTGGGGTTCCGAAACTGCTACCAAAACCGGTCGCCTGAGTCGCCGGAGTACCAAATACACCTAAGGTTGGCGCCGAAGTTGCAGGTGTGCTAAATCCAAAGGATGGAGTTCCAAATGTAGCTAAATCAATAAAACGTGTGAGGTTAGTTGCTTTATATACAGTAAACACAAAATATATGCAAATCAAATGGAAGTTAAAATCTGCTCACAGTCAATTGTTTTTGTCTCTAATTCTAAAATGTCAAATGCTAAGTTACGTTCACTCGTGTCGGACTGACATTAAACCTAAATGACGTATCAATTTCAATATTTCCTGAGCACAAAAAACTAGAACACAGTTGTCTAATGCAACAAGAGTTATTGGAAGCATGCAGATTACTTTTGCAGAAGTTATAAACTGCCACTCTTTGGGACAATACTGTAATCCCTCATTGGTGTTCAAAAAAGGAAGAAACCTCTCTAAGAATCATGTCGTTCCTCAGCCAAAATACACACTGGCCAGTTAGTTGTTCGGATTTATCTTGTCAATTACTTTTATTAAAATGTAATGAACAAAATTAATTTGGCATTATATGACCAACAGCGTGGAGGATACTACCAATATTCACCAAGTCTATTACGTAGTATTCAAAGTTCTTTGGAAAATAATTATAATATCAGAGCAATGGATATAATTAACAAAGTAGCAAGAGATACAGATGAATCTACTGAGGTACTAAACGAGGCCGAAACTACAGATTTAGCGCTTGGGGTAATTATGAATCTATGATCTTAGACACTTAACCTTTAAGTAAATTTTCAAATACAAATGTATGTTAATGAATACTCCAGGATGTTACTTTAGAAATAATGGTAACGACAACTGGAAAGATCCCTAGCGAAATGTACGATCTTGACGATACCACAGTGGGTGCAAATTCTGCAGACAATGCAAACGATGCCGATGCTATAGGAAAAAAGTCATCTGATTCCGGATTTGCAGCCCATTCCACGCTTTTCCTGATCTTAGGTATTGCTCTTCTGCTTCTACTATTTCTATGCTGCATCGCCGCATGTCTAATTTCAAGAGCCAAGAAGAGAGGTGGGAATATTTTCAGCAAGGAAAACATGGATTGCGATCCAGAGTGCACTGGTATCAGCCAACCTTTACTTAGATCTGACAAGGCATCGGAGACAACAAACAAGACTAGCGTAACCTCTTTAAAAAAATAAAAGGTTTAAACTATTTCTACTTTTTGTGATAATTCTGTCTAAACTCGTCAAAGGCAAGAAGGGATCGTTAATCAGAAACGCTGTTTAGTAGTGGCCGTTGCCCATTTGAATTAAGGAATATTAATCCAATATCAAAGCATGACATAACCTAAAAAAGTAACTTCTCGAAAGTGACTTACGCGGCTTAACTGGTGTTACCGCTGTTGAGCTAGGTGTTCCAAAATTAAACGTGGAACCGGGTGTTTGCGTAGAGGAGCCAAAACCGGTACCAAAAGACATTTTGATAAATTAACTTGACTACAAAACGTAATAGGATAACAACCCGTCTTTTGCTAATCGGCGCGAAGGATCATGGAATAAATAAGACAAGAGATATTCCTGAGTTAAATTTTCATGTTCGATTCCGTTCCCATTTTCTCGATTCAAATAACAGATGTCGCTAGTATGTTCACTCCAGTCGACAAAGAAGAAATCTGGCAAATGGATACATATTTGAAATCGAATTTTGTATGTATGTACATACGTATATACAATTTTATCGGTAATTACGTGAATAAAACTGGGAAGTACAAAAGACTCTGAGGAACGGACCTCGCACCTGATTCTTAATTTTATTTTGTACATGCTTTGCAGTTTTAAGTAAAATCATTGCAAATCCGATTCCGTGAAACTCGGATATTTAATATTAAATAATAGGATCTCGAGAAGAAAGTTTGGAAGAATATAATAGAAATTCATGAAATCAGACTAATCATCGTGGGTTAACGATAGAATTTCTTTTGTAATATATATTATAGAACCTTGTATAACACGTGTACATTTTTCTCATAAATAAATCTCGAAATAGAATTTATATGAATTTATACGAATCACGAGCCAGGGGGAGTCGGGCGGTAAAAGGACCGGGTCGTCTCAATCTTGAATGAATTTTATAATTTACAAAAACTTAAATAAATATCTCCATTTCCTAACGTACATATAAGATGCTTCCATCAACATTTCGATAATACTTCTGTGATATTACGTCGCGCAACGTACCGTTTGCGGATTACGCCATGAACCTGAAAATAAATCGAGGACATCGTTATGACGGTCGAGTCGCAGGAAAAAATAGAAAAATTCTGGCGAAAAGCCTTACTCCCTGGATATTCCACATACGGATGTTTGACGTTATGTAAATGAATATCCTTTTAAAGACGAGGAATCGTCTGAGTCTACACGACAGACACACGCAGGCTACGTTTACGATCGTCGAATTGCAGTCAAATCCCGTTAATACGTTGACAATTCTCTCATTTGCCGTTGAAAATTGAAGATAAGAAAAACAGGAAAGGACATTACACCTTATTTATCGTACGACATTTCAGTACGGGTACTCGAGTAGGTACATCGAGTACTTCCGCGCGCACATTCGACCTCCTCGTTGAATGATTACATTTCCACGGAGCTGCAAGTTTCTACCTAAAACGAATGGCGTGACAGTGGCTGTTAATAGTTTACGGTAGTTTTAGAAGGTAGCTTCCTCGAAAGCTGTTTTAGCCCGTTAGCTTATATTGCTTTTTCGCCCGATCGTTGCGGTCCTTCGGTCAGCCGACGTGGTCCGTCTCTGGAAACAGAAAGTCAAAAGCGACATTCTTGAAACCATCGATCAAGGGGAAATTGGACGAGTAATGTTCTCCCATTCATAAATAGCTCCAATCTAGGAATCACGTGGCTGCATCTAGGCGAATCCGCTGCCGATTCCGATATTGAAAATCGACACGAACGTCTTAAAAGAAGCTACACCGATATACAGAATTTCCACAATGGGACTCGGCGAAACGCGCCACCTCATCAAGACTCCCAAATTAAGCATCTATGAATGGTCGAGTTAGAAAAGCGTTTAAATCTCGTTAGCATATTTTAGATTGGTTCCTTTTATCAATGGCGTGAGGGCAGCTAATTAAGTTAACAGGGTATTTAAGAAGTAGTTCAATTTGGGAGCAGGCTTCATGAGGTTTACATTAATCGACTAATCGTCAATGGCATTGTCTAACGAGATTTAATTGCAATCGCTTCGATTCATTTCTCTAACGTAGGGCTTTAACACCTGGGTTACGCAAGGCTCTAGCCAGAGTCATTTCCGAGATAAGCGAGTACTTTTCGAAAAATTAAAATTATATGTATATAACACTCGTCGGAAGTCTCACACACTGGCAGTTATTCCATGTTTCTACGGTTTCCGTTATCTAATGCTTAGTATTTCTCTAATTTTAAGTAATCCTCGTTAGGGCGGGTGCGACGTCTCGTTTCAAGAATAAAACGACGGTCTCCCCGAGTAATTACAATCGATCGGTTTCCAGTTAAACGCTTGTACTCTCAGAAAGCTGTGATATATCCTCTCTTTTTAAACCTCTGTCTTTTTGGACCCGTAAGATTGAGATGTGGCAATTCGTATGTTTCGATGTTACGATCATGAACGTTGTGGACGCGAACTTAACGCTGCTTTCGCGAAAGAGTCGACGACGCTAAAGTCATTTGTCGATATCTTCCTCGAAAATATCTTGGTCCGTATCGCTAGTTTCCAATAGACACGAGTTATGAAGGTACCTAAAACCTGGGCTTAGAAATGCACGTACAAAGTGAAGCACCGTGTCCGTCTTAAGCCTTTTCGGTCAAGAGTTGAAAATTGAAGCAAGAAGCTCGGTAGATTGGCTAATGAGATACTGAACATTTAAAATGATTAAATATCTCAGCGTTGATCGAACATAATAGTCGTTGTACGTGTTAGTGACAAGCGTGTTAGGCCAACGTTTGATTATGCTTTGGTGGAGGCGCTTTAAATGCTATGGCGGAAAAAAAAGTGGGCAACCGAAAACAACTCTTGTCAATCACCGTGACGTCTGCGTACTCGCTCGTTTTACATGTAAGACCTGGCATACATTCAACACGTTCACATTTACACGGCGATTACATAAATCGGCAGGGTGCTTGGAGAATTGAATTTCGATATTTTCAGGTACGAATTAGTCAACTGAAAAGCGAACATATGATTGTTCCATTGATTTCATTTTTCAGTTCCGATTGCAATTGAATAAAGCGGATATCTACGTGCGTGGTCACGTATGCAATTCCATAATGTACTACCGCAATTGTATACAAAATTGAGAATGTAATATTGAAAAGAGGAAGAAACGGAGAATAATTGACTCGAGTTATTCGCGTTTAGTCATCTCCAAGCACACCACGCTTTAGAACATTGATATGATATCTTTTTTTTTTATCCCGATTCATTCGAGACGTACAACTATCTGGGTGCACACAGTATTGGAAGTACAGAGACGTCGAGTTTAAACGAGTACGAGTCTACAGCGGAACTAAAAAGGAGGAATAACGGAGAGAGTTTCCAATTTCTACCGTAATTTCCAAGAAGTTAAAATGAACCTAACGATGCGTTTCGGCGGTATAAGTCCTGACTAGTCAGTGGTATTTAAGACGTACGAATTGTGAAAGCTTAAACCCCGATAGAGTCGAAGGCAGGCAGTTCATAGGTAAGATTCAGAAAACTCGAAATCAGAAGCAGAAGCTCGAGAGGATCTGGTGTAAACAGAAATTCCCCCACCGATAGCGCTGTCTGAAGTTCCTTCTCCCGTGACGAAATCGGCAACTATCAGAGAATCCTTAGGGATGTTTCCTCCTCCTCTTAATGCGTCCCGTTCAGCAACTTTCTGTTTCAGTGCCCTGATCTTTTCCTCCTTCTATAAAATAAATATTAATGTCATTCACCGTATAAATACCGATAGCCAATTAACATTTCGTTGAAACAGCTTATAATGTGCATTCAAGATAGGATATTTAATTTTTGTTATATGTGTATTAATGTTAAATGACGAAGTATGAATCTCACCGCTGAGATAAGTTTCACCAGCTCGTCGTTTTCGCTCAAAAGTTTCTGATACCGTTCTTCGTCCTCTTTGGAGATTCCTACGTCTGGGTTGTACTTAGACTCGGCTTTGTCTTTCGGATGTCTAATGACTTCGATGACTTTAGGTACGAAAATTAGAGCCATACTCAGAAAACAGCAAAACACGATGACTAACGCGACAAATGCGAAGCTGGCATCTTGCTGGCTGGCAATGACCATGGTCACTGGAGCAGTGATCAGACAAAGCACGACCACATTGTAAATTGACATGCCAACGTATCTCGAATCGTTAATTTGTTTCACCTTGATGCTCCTGGTCTCGTATGCCAAAAATAGACCGAAGACCAAGACCACCCCTTTGTAGCCGTATACTAGTCCTAAAACAGACATGTATTTGTCAAAATTGTTCTTCCTTTCAAGAAGTAATAAAAAAAGCTGAGCTTACCAAGCCACATGCCATTGTGTTCGCTCTCGCAATGCTCCAATTCGGGTCTGATGCGAGCATCGTCGTCTCCGAAAGGTGGCGACTCCAAAGGAAAGACTTCGATCGTTCTCTGCAGTGGATCTAGCCCTTGCCAAATGCCGAGGATAACGACATCGATAGCTAACAGGGCACTGACCATCGTATACAGTTTCCAAGGCTGGACCTTCTTCTGCACAGAAGACACCTTCTGTTTGGCCATGTATAACTGTGGAACATGGAAATAAATAAATAAAACCAACGAAAATACAGGAGGCATTTAAATCCCTGTGTATGTACTTTGGCCTGGTCGGCTTTCGTCTTTGTCGTCAATCGGTGTACTCGCCAAACTTTGCTGAACATTGCGCCAAATGCAAGGGTGAATCCTGTGGACAATATCCAGGCCCTTGCCTGACATACTCCAGGGTATTCCCATGGAGACACGAATCTGCCGTCCATTCCCAGTAAAAATACAGACACGAGGCAAGCTATCACTCCCACCAACATGATCGTGTTGCATACTGGATGGGATGAAAGGATGACCCTAGAATAATGAAAATGCAGTCATTGGTAAAATCCTTTAATTCATCTGGCGAAAGGACACTCTTGGGAATTACCTTCGATGCCTGTTCCAGATGTTGAACACAATTAGCGCCATCGCTATCACGATACCCACCGATGATAAGGTGCACATGGATATGAAGAGTGGCAGGGACACCGTTCTTAAAACTTTCTTCACTATCGTCCTGTCTTGTGGAACCTTGCCTCCGATCCAACGCTCCATATTGTGCCAGGTCAGGTTGTCACTCTGTGTGTCGTAGTATCCCAACTTTACATACTTCCCGTCTATCACCTGTTCGATCTGCGTTAAGGCGATTCGATCACCTTGGGAACTGAAAGCCACGTAACCCTGGAAAAGGAAGACTCTTTTCGTGAAAACGTGCGATTTTACATATTCTCACTTGATCAATAAGAATTGATAAGGATAAAAGACGTTTCTTTCATCCACAGGAACAACTTACGGATACGCCAAGAAATTGCGTCGAATTTATAGCCGAATAAATCTCATCCGCGATCTCCTTGTCCGTGTACGTGAAGTTCTTCAAGCTTTTGCCGGATTTACTAAGCTTCTCCATTGTTTTATTAAACGCTGCGATTTAGAAAGTAGACTTTTATCTTTGTTTTAAAAAATATTCAGGGATAGTTAAATTATAAATCTCACTCACCCAGAGCCACGGACCACACGGCATCGTATGCCAGCGGAGCTTCCTGGTAGCCTTCAGGATATCTGTTGTTGTCGATATCGTAACCATCCTCTTTCAGCATTTTGTTCAACCTCTGCCTAAAATCTTCCGAGGTCATTCCGCTTATCGTTGTCTCGTTGTTCTGGTTCCACATAAGAGCTTCGGTGGTTAGATGACCTTCTGCAGCTTGTCGCATTTGTTCCTTGGTGCAGGTGATGCCCTCCTTGTCGAGGTTGACCTCGAACCAGTTGTCCTCGTACCAGCCGATAAAGAACCATACGTAACTCTTGCCATAAAGGTTCTGATGGTAAAGTTCGCAAAGAACGCGTCTTGCAGCAACCACGTAGAAGAGGCCCACGATTATTCTGGCATCTTGACGACGTAAGTTCCTGACTGCGTCCGAAGGGTCGGAAAGAAAACTCTGGCGCGTTACTATTTCGATTCCAGCTTCCTTGCAACGAGCTTCTAGGTCCTCCACGGTCTGCAAAATGTGACGAAAAGAATGATTATAAATTATTTCGAGATAGGAAATAATAAATGCCGACAAACTTACAGATATGAACACTTCTTCGGCTTGCTGTAAAATGGCTACGCGAGACCAGCCAAACTTTTGCAACAATTTTATCCTTGTGGGGTTGTGCACCGTAGCTGAGGGATGAGTCCGAAAGAGAGTCGGAAATCTATTTCTATCGGATAATGCTGGAGATGAGGCACCGTAACAGAGCTGCGAATAATTTACAAATACACGTTTAAGCGAAAGAAATTAGTAACAATCATAATTAGTGTAATTTTTACGTTATAATATTATTTAGACGTGGGTCCTGTACTTACGACAACTAGATTCCACATTTTCGCCGCTTCGGCAACGGTTGTGCAAACCGTACTACATCCTGCTAATAGCATTAATTTCTGAGGCTGATTGTAGAGTAAGTCGTACATGACGGACGCACCTAAACCTGGCTCGCACTATGAAAACATTAACTTAAACATCACACAACAAACGTAGGAAATAATTTCTTTTACACAGTACGCGTCTATATACGCTTTCAAAAAATGATAGTTTTATAACACGTGTTATAAGTTTAGCACACAAGTCTAATAACTTTTCTGCACAATTTCCCAAAATTATAACACGATTTCGTGAAATTTTTAATTTATTTAGGAAAATATAAATGTATACTGATTTACTTTTTAGACATCAGATTAATGATTATACTACAACCCCATGAACCAAAAGTGTAGAAATTTTATGAATATTGTTTCAATATACAACGAAGAAGAGTTCAATTAGTAAAGTGAAGACTGCATGATCTATTGAATTCATAGATGTTTTTACAAGGTTCAATATCTTCACAGACTTGAACATCATATGAAGATATTTACCTCACTATCATTTGAATGCAGTTTCAAGGTGAAGCCTGGTAGTAGATCTTTCTTCTTATTAACATCATCCAGAGCCAGATTCGCCGCAGGCATGCAAGCCTAAAAGCGAAACAGAGGTAATTACAAAGGGATAGCAGGATCTATTCCTGAGACCAAAAGTATAAAATGAAAACATCAATAATTAAAGTAGGCGGATACTCCAAAAATAGGATATTTCCACTTGGAACCCACCTGGCCTCCTTGCCAGCCTCCTTCTCCGGCGATAGGGAATATCCCGCCAATGTGAAGGACATTATCATCTGGAGGTAAGGACCCTCCCGTCAACGGGGCCAGGACGAAAACGAGGACGAGCTCCAACATTTTGGCGGCTCTTTCTCTCGAATTCTTCAACAACAAAACCTTGACCCGGTCCGGCCGGATAGGCTCATTTTCGCGGCACCTCTTCGTTTAGACCGCCCCCATGTTTCGGATTCCCTTTTCAGGGGGATTTTTCCTTTTCAGGGAATTCCAGCGCACATGCGACGATAAAGGCCGTAATTGACAGGCGATCGATCTTTGAGATTACAGGGAGACCGGGGGCGGCCAAGCAAGGTCGCGCATTGACTTCACCGGGGGATTTTAAAATATCGGGGGTAAAAATACCAGATAACTCCTCGGCTGAACATTCGTCCTGCTTCTTGATGTTCCAGAAGAATCGCTAACGGTTCGCGGGACTCGGGATGTCGCTTCTTCAGCGTAGAAATGAACTTCACCGAGGATGCCTGTCGCGCGCCGTCCACCTCATATTGATTTCATCCAGAGACTCGGCTCGACTCGAAGTGGGGACTGCGCGGTTCTCCTTGTCCTAGGCTAAATCAATAGAGAATTTTTAGAAAAGCTGGTCTGTCGTAATTTTACTCCATTTCCTCTATTACCTTGCTATATTATATCTATTATGATTTATTCAAACTCGTGGAGCCAGGGAAATTATGGGTGAGTTGCAGGCCGACTGCGAATCATGCTGCGTCGCAGGATATACGAACAGGAGGAATTAAAAAGAACGTGTTTTATTAATGTTGTATTCGAGATATTAGAGGTATAGTTCGAGACATTGACATTATTGAAATGATCGAAGTACGTACGAGTTGATTCATGGTCGGTCCTTGGGCGCGCAAGCACTGCAGATTTGCATGGGAGCGCGGGATTTGAATTCCGCGCCTCGAGTTGTGGTTAGGTTGATGTAGGGTGAATCAGAATTCATGCCTATGGTTTATATAATCAGATTCATCTCTGATACAATGCTTTCCTTGTTCAAAATGCAGTTGGAAAGTCCTGTACTATTTTTTTCTACGACGCACAGTTTACCTGTAATAATTAATTGAAAAATAGTCAACAAAACGCGTCAGATTTGAATTTTTCCCGCCGTACCGAGATGTCAAGTTGGTCGACAGGAGATGTGCAAAGTCGAAAATGTTTTCTTGCGTTTTTTGCTCGTTGTGTTGGCTACACTGTAATGTCTCGTGATCGAGCAGCTGACAAACTCCCACGAATGGAGGTGTATCCATAGGTGTAGAAAATCGTGAGCTTCGAGATCTCCGCGGAGCGAATAAAACGGAGCAAAATCCGTAAAGGGCGCTGCGACTGTTAGAATATTATAAAATTTATAGAATACTGTGACAGTCAAGCAATTTTCATCTAGAGTGCCAGAAAAAACGAAATCATGGCGGATCGAACAAATATTAAAGAAATCATTCCTACTCTTCCAGATGAGAAAATTGGTAAGTGTAACGCAAAACATTTATTGCTTAACCAAGCCCCTCCCATATTGAGTATATGTCTAATATAAGAATAATTGTGTGAAAAATACTTGCGGATTCATTACGAATTTTTGGTATTTTGGTACTTCTAATGTGGAGCATTATTATAGTAAGTTGTGAATATTACAAATTTATATGTAAACTGTATTTAAATTTTGTTGTTGTTTCTGTTTAGATATGCTTGCTGCTACTAGCGTATTGCAACAACAGGCTGCAGACATACGGAGTCAACGTATTAACTGGCAATCCTATCTTCAGTGGGTATATCTCAATTTAAAGTGCAATTTTTGTAATGGCAAGTGAGAAAGTGTTCACAAGGATTTCTATTTGTCACAAGGTCTCAGATGATTTCTAAAGAAGACTACGACTTCATAGTTGCTTTCGATACCAGTGATGCTTCTGTGCGAGAAGCTAAGTTGAAAGAAAATCCGAATCAAGCAGCGAAGACGTTTTTGAATTTATTGGGGCACGTTTCTAAAGATCAAACTATTCAGTACATTCTCACAATGATCGACGATATGCTACAGGTACTTATAGGATGTATAATTATTTTTGAAACATGGTAAGTTGTATGCGAGAAAATTCTGTCTACAGGAGGATCGCAGTCGTGTTGAGATTTTCCGTGAGCATTCTTCACGAAAACGGGAATCTATGTGGGGACCATTTTTAAATTTACTTAATAGACAGGATGGATTTATTATGAATATGACTTCTCGTATCATTGCAAAATTAGCATGTTGGGGACATGAACTTATGGAAAAGACTGATCTTCAATTTTACTTGACGTGGCTGAAGGATCAATTAAAACTGAGCGTAAGTTAATATGCAATTTCAACGTAACTAACATCTAGAATATTGACATTTTTTATAGTACTTTTATCAGAAAAATAATACTCATTTATAAACCCTAAATATAACATCTAATATAGCTCTAAATCATAATACATAATTATCATTGATTGGTTTTAAATACCATAAACTAGTGTTATACTAGTATTAGTATTATCGTCACAGTATTTCTGTTAGTACAGTTCCAGGCAATTATCCTTGTTTGAATAATTTATAATTTGTTTCAGGATATTTGTAAGATACTTGTCGTATTTAGATTTTGGTAGCTAGTAGTCAGTTCTGCAGTTATCTGCTTCATCCCTGCATGCTTTCTCGCTTTTCTTTCGTTTCTCAATTGGAAGATCCACTACTCCATTTGCACATATACACAGATAGTTTCAAACTCTCTTTGTCTTCCGTAACTGTACATCCCTAATAGGAAGGTCATTCTTCGATATCTTAATTCATAACATAGACAATAGATAACACATTAAAGAAAATTATGTAATTTATGTAGTGTCTTGTCTTAATTATTCGTAACATACTTCAAATGATCGTTCTTCACATTCTAATGATACTTTAAATAGCATTCCCATTAAACTTATGCTAAAATAGTAGCATTCTTTCATACGAAAATTTCTCTTTCTGATATATAATTGTTGCAAATCCGTGTTGCTTTGCAAGGTTGCGGTTTGGGTAAAGTGTTTATTTTTTTTTTTTCATACTATTATACAGTACTTCGAGATACGATGAATTGAACGGGTTTTTAGTTTGAAGCCCTTCAGGAGGCACCCTTGCATGTGGAAGTAGTACAGGACCAAACACCCAATGAAGCCGGAGAGGCCAATGAGATGCACGAATTGCTCAACCCGGTTGGTTTCGCAAAATCTCATTCCATTTCTTCCTCGAGTCTCCTTTCATTCTACATTAAGGAACGACTAAGTGAAGAGCATGACAGTTCTCACACACACAAAGCACATACCTCATCCTTGTTGATTTAAATTTATACATAGCGTCCCTGCCATACCTTACCTTATCTGTATGTACTGTTTGAAAAATTCATTACTCTTTAATAAGTATCGTATTTTAGTCTATTTTACCATTTCACGTAAGTAGACTAAATTTGTAGATTAAGTAATTAAAGCATAGCTTTATACTATTTCATATATTATTTATTATGGATAATAAAAGTAGTAATAACTCGCTTTTTTATCTAGAATAATGAGTACATCCAGTCAGTGGCTCGATGCCTGCAGATGATGCTACGCCATGATGAGTATCGGTTTGCATTCGTCTCCGTCGATGGGATATCTACACTTTTAAGTGTTCTCTCTGGCAGAGTAAACTTCCAAGTGCAGTATCAATTAATTTTCTGCCTCTGGGTTCTCACTTTCAACCCTTTACTAGCGGAGAAGATGAACAAGTTAGTACTTTATCACTATTGTGTATTAAAGTGTGATAAGCGATTCTTTTTATATTATGTTGTCTTCGCAAACCATTTGTTATTACTCTCATTAAAGGTTCAACGTCATTCCAATTCTTGCTGACATCTTGAGTGACTCTGTCAAGGAAAAAGTTACTCGCATAATTCTTGCTGTATTTAGGGTAAGAGTATAATTAATTAAAATGTAAGCTGATGTTTATCTTTTTTCGAAAGTGTAATTTTATTTTGTACTATTGAATAGAATCTGATCGAAAAAGTTGAAGATGGTCAAGTAGCAAAAGAACACTGCATTGCTATGGTGCAATGCAAAGTGCTCAAACAGCTTTCCATCTTAGGCCAACGAAAATTCGACGATGAAGATATCACCGGTGACATCGAGTTCTTGAATGATAAATTACAAGCTTCGGTTCAGGATCTCAGTTCCTTCGATGAGTATTCTACAGAAGTGAAATCCGGACGTCTTGAGTGGTCTCCAGTTCACAAATCAGGCAAATTTTGGAGAGAGAACGCTAGTCGTCTCAACGAAAAGAATTATGAACTTCTTCGTATTTTGGTCCATTTACTGGAGACCAGCAAGGATCCCCTTGTTCTTAGTGTAGCTAGTTTCGACGTAGGAGAATATGTACGGCATTATCCACGAGGCAAGAAGTACGTTAATGATTAATATTCATGCAATTTACAAGTTTTATGCAAATCTTTTTCTAACGTTACAAAAATGTTTCTGTATACTTTAAGTATCATCGAACAACTAGGGGGTAAGCAGCGTGTAATGCAGCTGCTTAGTCATGAAGATCCAAATGTACGTTACGAAGCCCTGCTTGCAGTGCAAAAACTTATGGTGCACAATTGGTAAGAAATTTATTTCTTGTATTAATGTAGTTCAACTAATAACAATAAACCGTAAAGTTTAATTTTTATTCAAATCAAATACTGATTTTTTTTAATAGGGAATACCTGGGAAAGCAGTTAGAGAAAGAACAAACTGGAGCTCCAGGAGCTCCGGGAACCAAATCAGGAGCACAAGTCCCTGCGAAAGCATAGGAATGAATTTGGATATTAGAACCGGGACGTTGTGTAATTGCTGTTAGTCCCTTCCTTCAAGAACATAGCTTTATAATATCGTTGCATCTCGAAGCCGCATTCGAGTTGGTATTCTATTTGTATTATACGGTTGATAGGTCCGATTTATTCGCATCTTAACGAAGCATTACTGGTAAACGAAATAGGGAATTTCGGTACAAGTTATTGAAAATCAACAAAGAAAAAGTCAGATAACATACCTCGTACTCGAGAATTTAAACAAAATTCATTGTCTATGTTGTTGGAAATGTCGTATTTACGTCCTCGTGTCATGAAGAGAGTAACTGTTATTATCGTAAACATGTTTAAACCACCTTTTACATCTAACCTTCCATGCTGCAGAAGTTGAATGCAATTCTCCGTTCTTTTGCTTAATAGCCCTCAAAAGACCATGGAATTATATGTATTATATAAATATGTATATATTCATATGCCTATCTCGCGTTAATAATTTCCCTTGTACAATACAGTGCATATAAATAGGTGTGTGCGAATGTGTGTGGGCGTATGTAGCTGGTATTTAACGATAGATGCGCAATACTGTTACACTATATGTAGCATTATGGGAAATTTTATCGCAGTATTAATAAACAATTAAGCGTTGCTGTTTTAAGTTAATTTCAATATGAAACTGTAAGAAAGGTATTTTATTCTTCAGAAAACGTTAATTTCACGTTGATATTACAAGAAGTGAGTTGAGTTACAAGATATCGGAATATATAAGGTATGTCAACTTCTGCAACTACTCCGCCATCTCCACAGAGACGACACCTGGTTCTTTTCTCTCCTTCACCAGACTCATTTAACACTACGTCCATCACAGGTCCTAATAAGGTGCCACACTTTTTACACACCATTGTCTGAAATAAGTTAGAGAAATAATATATAACATTATATGTGCAGAATGACATCCAGATACTATAACATCTCCGATTTGACGATTATATTAGTAATGTCTAATTACCGTAGTTTTGTCAGAACAGTGGAATAAGCGATCCTGAAGTAAGTATGCACAGCCATGTGAAATCAAGGAGTCTCGTTCCATCTCTCCAAATCTTACACCCCCACATCTCCGACGTCCCTTAATTGGCTGTCTCGTTAAAACATCAATTGGCCCGGTGCTTCTGACCTGGTATTTATTTTAACTATATTTTAATTAACTGCATGAATAGTCTAACATTTGCATTAATGATTTAACATTAAACTAATCGACAATTTGAATAACGAATTTGATTAACTGGTATCTATTACAGACCTGCCACTTGTCCGATACCATGTGTCGTAATCTCTGATAATGCACAACACCGCAGAAAATATTAGCTGTCATCTCACGACCATTTATACCAGAATACATTCTCTCCGTCCCATAATAATTATATCCACCTCGTTCCAACAGTTTCCCAAAGAAATCAGCTGCGGTGTCTTCTTCAGAAAATCTGAAAGGTGTTGCATCGTGCACCAAGCCATGAAGAGCTGCTGATTTACCAGCCATGACTTCTATCATCATAGCTTGGTGAAAGAAGATAACAACATAAGTCTCAATAAAGTATGGTTGAAAATTATTTCAATGTTGCTCACCGATGGTCATTCGACTTGGAAAACCATGTGGGTTAAATACAATGTCTGGAATTAGCCCTGTTTCAGTGAAAGGCAAATCCTCTGCAGGCCACTTTTGCGAACAAATGCCTTTCTGACCAGCCCTTGAAGCAAATTTGTCTCCAACGCTGGGGTTACGCTGGAATTATAGTTTGAACCATTATCATTCTGTCTTAAGGTTACTTTTCTATTAAATTATTATTAAATAAAATTTGATTTATACTAACTGGAACGCGAAATGTTATACAGGCTCTTCTAGGAAAAGTAGCCTGCAGAGTACCGCAAAGTCGAACGTTATCAACATAAACATCCTCCTTTCCTTTGTATTTGCCTACGCGGTATCTGGCTTGTTCTGCGTCGTAATAACTATCGAATAATAAAAATGTTATACTTTTTCATTACTGGAAGAAATAATTTATGAAACGGATACGTTACCTGTAGTAAAAATCGTTGAATTTAATTGTTGTACCAAGTATGGGCAAACCATCGGGGTCCAATTTGTCTGCTAACTCGGGGCTATCAGGATTTCGACAAAAATAACTCTTCTGGTCTTTGAGATCAACAAATTCCGACTTATATATCATCCCATGAGCAAGACCTCTTTCATATGCAGCTTTATTTATTATCATTGCATCTTCCATATCGTATCCCTAAATATATATTATTGTTTTTAGAAATTGTAGTAATGAAATAAGTCATTTATAGTTCTCGTACCGTGTAAGAAATAACAGCTACTATAGCATTAGTGCCCATTGCATACTCATCCATGTTGATATTGTCATGATGAACTGGTCTGAAAAGCGGCGTTGCAGGGGTTTGTAATCTGTACAGTTTTGTCTCCGATTGCAGATGCCATGTGTGACAGGGTGTGCCCATTGTCTGTTTACCCATCTAAATAAAAAAAGTTAAGTGAGTCTACTTTATTAAGAGTAATTTAATGGAACAATTTATTAGGTAAAACTTACTTGACACTGATACATATTCCTAGGACTTTGATTGCAATCTGGCATCGGTATAAGACTCGCTAGATTGCTGATGAAGCCAGTTTTTGATAGTTCTTGGTGAGTTGTTAGCTGAAGGAAAATCAAATTTAATGTATCGAACATAATGTATTCATCAAGAATACGTATTCTATTAGAATTATTTATTATTATTATTATTATTATTTGACATCTCGGAGAAGCATTGATTTACCCCATTATATGCCTCTTCAGGTGTTATGCAGATATCCATATAAACTTGTTCAAACGTACCAATTAACTCGACATTATTAGCAACTAGATTTATTACAGGCCTCATCATTCGAGACGGACCAGTGAACAAATATAAACCTGGATATTGAGAAGGCACACTTTTCTTAGGGACCAAAACTATTTCTAGTGTCGATGGTATCTGAAATGTGCAGTCAATGTTTGAGTGACTCCTTACTGCAGATTACGGACGTGTAAATTAAAAATTACCTTTTTTCCGGCAATTTTTATAATACGGAGTTTATCCACAACTCTAGCTACGATATTATTCTCTAGATGACCTATTATGTTTCCATCCAACATCACAGTGTAGGTATCCTTAGAATTCTTAGCAATTGATAGTGGCAGCATTCCCAAATCCATGAGTACAGTACGAATACCAGCTACCAATTTCTTATCTGGATGTTTAGTAACTATACAGTTCATGGTAAGATGATTCAGGAGGCCACAAGGCGTTCCATCCGGTGTATGAACGGGACAGATAAAGCCTGAAAATTATAATGAAGTTTCATTAATCAAATGCCACTTAATACTAATTAAATGTTAAGCATCATACCCCAAGCATCTGGCAACAATTGTCTAGCTTCGGTGGTCCTCATCTCTTGGAAGAACGAACCCCTGTGAATCGCTCGAAAATGACTCATGTAACGCATTCTGTTTATGTTCTCTGCTACTATCGTAAGACCTGTATTTTGCATCAAGCCAAGTCCAGAATTACTTTTTATATTTCCAGTAGCCACAAAATTTTCCATTTGCGTTTCAAGAGTACCACAATATTTTAAAGCGGTCAACATTTCCTCTGGAAAGCAAAAGTGAAATTATAATGTAAAATCATAATATGACACTATCAGAATGTTATTAATTGACGATCCGTATATTTATCTAAATAATCGAACTTAGAAAACGATACTCACGCACAGTTAATGCATATGCACTTCCAGTATTTTTCATACGCTTTGTAACCGTGGCTTTTAAACCCACCAACCACGAATATAATTTCTCTTTCAGAACCTGCAGATATAAGTAGCCTCCAAGTAAACATTCCTGCATCATTACAGCATCTGCACCCTCGACAGCACATTTGTTATTAGCAAAAGCAAATAATTTTTGAGTCATAAAGGCAAGTAAATTAAATTTATCGTCAGGTTCATCTAAATGAATGGCAATGCACTTTCTAAAATTGACAGAAGTAATACTGTAATTGTTGATAACTGGAATACCTTTGGAATTCAGATATATTTTAAGAATAATGTACCTGATAATGAAGTCACAAATTTCACTGTCTGTTATATCTATTGGTAATTCAAAAAATTTAATCCTGAACATCCTTCCGATATATGCTTTACATTGATTATGATTATGCAAGCCTTCGTCATGAACAGCTCGTAGCATATTTAGTATACATCCCCTATAATACAAGTCATCTTCATTTCCGGCAGTCAGTAAATTAAATATATATTTATCCGAAACATCAAGTAGACATTTCAGCATTAAAATTAAAGGAACATAGTAAAGAACTTTTCTGTGTGAAAACATTAACTTTACAGATCCATCTGTGACGTAATGCAACGTATTGGTCTGTAAGAAAAAAAATAACAAAATTAAAGAATATATAAGTAATGGATCAGTAGCGATAAGAAAAAGTTATTTACCACTGCACTGCCATCATCTGTCACACTCCTTAAAAGAAGACCCATATCGCTAAATTGAATCCCTCGAGCTTTCCATCCAGATCGCCGAACCGTAATAGGATAGTTTCTACGAGTCAATAACAACATTCTGATCAGTCTTTCATGACCTTTAACTACAAAATAACCTCCCCATTCCTGCTCGTGTTCTCCATGAGTCACTAATTCTGCTGGAGACAATTTGTTTAAATGACACCGGTTGGACTATAAAAATGATAATATTATGTCACATTAAATTTCTGTTACAAACATTGAACTGTTAGAAATTATACAATAAATTTCTAGTGTTAACAGGCCAGATTTTAGGAATTTGATACCTTAACCATAATAGGAATTTCTCCCAAATCTTTCTCCAAGCTCTCTTGCTGTTTGCCATTGATAGACCAAGAAATTTTTGCAGTTAACTTGGCTTTGTATGTAGCTCCTCTTTGACGACATTCCGTAGGGTAGATCTTATGATTTTTTACACCGATTGTACCCAACGGCACCATTGGTTGATAGATCGTAACATCGTCTACTTTGAATACCACCTTATCTCCATTAGGTAAAGTTAAAAACACTGGTTCAATATTCTGTATACTCTCCATCAAACCAGCCTCCAGCATATAATTGAAGGATTCTACATGCGGTGCTCCCAGTGATTGCAAAAGCTTTAAAATAAATATTAAATTAACTGATGTACAATAATAGACTACAAAAATGAACAGCCATGAATAAATCATACTAACCGCATTTTGTTCTGCAGCCGGCAATCCAAAATCTGACGCACAGTTGCTTAGCACTGGTTCTGTTAACATTTCAAGTTGCTTAAAAATAACCTTCATTAGACGCGTGTTCCCCAACCGCCGAAACTAGCACGTGTATCTGCTTTCATTGAAATCAGGGTGGAATAAGTAAAATACCCTAGGTCATTTTCATACTTTTTCACAGTAAATCAGAGAGAGAGATTAGTTGGAAGATTGCTCACGGGCAGGAACGTGTGATCGCGTCCTGTTCTGCCCTCTGGTTTCGTACGTTAGCAGAGATGAGTTGGGAGATTGCTCACAGGCAGGATCGCGCGATCGCACCGTGTGCTGCCCTCTGATTTCGTACGTTAGCTTTCACCGTTTTTTGCCCCCAAGGGCGGCGCAACGAATTTCTGGTAGGGGCCC